AGGCTGCAGGCAGCAGGACAGACAAGCAGCACCCAGGCTGGAACTCACCCCAGGCCCTGGGGGGCATTCGGGGTCACTCTGGTTGGGGCTTCCCCCACCCGTCACCAGACATGTTCTTCTCATGTCCTCGCGGGATTTAGGGAGGCTCCATGAGAGTCTGGGCATGAGTTTCCACGCCTCCGTGAGCCCGCGAACTTTCTGAAGCTCCGAGAATCCAGCGGGAGGACAACCGGTGAAAAATACAGGACCCCGAGTGTCGCCCACCTGCTCAGGCTGCTCTCAGCCTCCCTTCCCTGGACAGCCCGCCCTCCTCAGTCTCCTACGAGACACAAAGAGCTCTCTGGAGGGAGAGGGGCCGGCCCTGGTCCTTGGAGAACGGGTCTCCGCTCTCCAACCTCTGCTGACCTTGCTATTTCACCGGAGGAGGGATGGGGAGGACGCGCAGGGTGGGTGGCGAGAGGCCGCTGCCCTCCAGGAGAGCAGCATCCCTGATCTGTTTCTCCGGGGCCACGCCCAGGACCCGCTGGGCCCAACCAGTGCCCACCGCGGGGTTGCTAAACGCACAAACGCAAAACAGGGAGCCCCCTCTAGTGAGGACTGCGCGGGGCCAGCACGCGGGACCAGAGAGAGGAAGGAAACCGTCTCTGTTCAGCCTCACGCGGGGTTCCGTGACGGAGTGTGTGTCAGCAGATGGTCTGTGAGGGCTTCAAACTTGCTCCCCCTCATACAAGGCCTCTAGGGAGGGTCAGTGCAGCTGGGGGCGGGGACGGCTGCTTTAAAAGTGCACATCCACCTCCAATCCCTCTGTTGAAAGCCCTCCAAACAGGCAAGAGGGAGTAATAATAACAGTAAACAATGCCTGAAACCACCAAACGGAGAATTTACATTTAAATGATACAGCCCCGAGCAGTTTACGAGATGCACTTTCCTTGCCAGCATCACTAACACGATAAAAACAGCCAGTGTCACTAAAGCCTGAGGGGGGCCTGGGAGCAGGATGGGGCCCCAGCTTTTCTCCCACGGTCGGAGCTGGATCCAGGCCAAACTGAAGCGACTCCCCAAACACCCCGTCTGGGTAGGGATGGGGGTTCGCTAAAGAAAACATTTTAGGGTTTTGGGGGGATTTAAAAAAGCCGAGTTGGTCCAGAAGGACCACTGTGGATTCTGCCCTCGCTTGCCTCCTGGGGAGCCCCAGGCTTTTGGAAAGCGTTCTCGGGGTCCTGGGGAGTCGGCACCCCTTGCGCTGGCCTCAGGGCTCCGTGTTTGGGGTCTGGTTTGGTTTTCCCTCCAGGGCACACGCTGACCATGTGGCTTTCTCTCCTTTCTGTACTTCCGGCTGCACGCATCCCCCAGCCGCTCCCCAGCCCCGCAGTGTTGGGTGAGCCTGAAGTCACGGCCACGCCTATGAGACATGGGGGGTCAGAGTGACCAGAGCCCCTGGGGGGGACAGTGAGGACTTGGCCCTGCGTGTTAGGACCGGGCACCTCCTAATGCCAGCCCCAGCCACTGTTCTCCTACACCGCAGTAAGGGCCCCCCTTTGGGCCTGCCTGGAGGAGTGTGGGTTTGAGGGCTGCCCAGGATGGTGACAACAGGGTGCCTTGTGGGGTGGGGGAGGCCTTCTGGTTCTTTCTGAGGAGATTTTTTGTGTCACCCTATTACTTCTGAGCTGCCCAAGCCCCCCAGAGGACCCTCTCTTGGCCCCTTGCCATCCCCTTCCCTTCGGGGGCAGGGCTTTGAGACAGGCTGTGGAGTCACCTCCACCCCTTATGAGCCACGTATGAGGGGACACGTGGCTTCCTCTCTTGGTGCCTCAGTTCTGACCTCTGAAAACTAGCATACTGATACCCTCCCGCCAGGTTGTTGGTAAGGATTGTAGGAGATAAAATGCTCCACACCGTGCCTGGGCAAGGGACCAACATCTGGAGGGCATCTGGCTCCGTGTTCCTTCCTTCCCTCCCCTCAGGTGCAGCTGGAGACTGGCTCCAAGGCCAGGCCTGCTGCTTGTCAGGCTGGGGCCACGGGAGGGCCACAGCAGGGTCGCTCCTGCCTCCAGCCCCCAGCCCCCAGCACCACGGCCAGCAGGAGGGGGGCCCGATCAGAGCCAGGAGCCATCTGCCTCCTGTCGCTCCCACACCAACCTGGCCTTCCTGGCTTGAAATCTGTGGCTCTAAATCAGCCTCAGAGCTTAAGATCCAGGTCAACAGTCTCCACTGTCCACAGGACACTCCCGGGCTGCCAGGTGGCTCATTCTTTCTCCAGGCTCCCGCTCTGTCATAACTAGGTCCCAGGGTATCTCATTCACCGTGGAGTGCTCTGCGAGCCTGTGACCCCTGCCCCAAGCACCCGGGCCAGGAAAGGTCCTGGGGAATTCTGACTGATGACAGGCCGAACCTGCCACGTGCCCTGTGACTTCCAGACCATCACCTTGTGTGGCCCCATCGAGGCACGCCCAGCTCTGCCACCAATGGGCCGTGTGTCAATCAAGCACTTGCTGGCAGGAGAATCCTGATTTTCAGCTGATTGGTGTTTAATAAATTACCTCTGGCCATCTAACAGCCTGAGTGGCCAGCTCGGACGACTTGTAGTATCCCAGCCCTTATCTAAGGAAGATGATAATGCTGAGACCACCGTCTAATTTAGAGGGAGGCTATTTTGAGCTGATTCCACCCATGTGGCAATCCTCACAGACTCATTGTTCAGGAGACAGGCAGGGGTCCTCTCGGTTTCTTCCACATATCAGTTACCTGGAAAGAGGTTTCCTCCCGAGGCTGAGGTCTTCTCAAGTTTGGAGGAGGAGCCCCCAGGTGTGGGGGGATCTGGGGCAGGGGGTGGGCGGAGGGGAGATGTCCTTCCACGCACACAAACCCCTGTATTAAGCCATCCCATACTAGGACTCGTGGTGACACCTGCCACTCAAGAGGATCCCACCTGTGTCTGGATTGTGTCACTAAACATGCGACACAAATTGCCATCTCTCGTCTACCCCCTCAGCAGCCACCCCCAGCCCAAGCCAGGAAAAGAAGATCCTCCGCTCTTGATGGTTGGGGCAGCCCCCACCTGAGGCCTGTCATCACTCTGGGGAGGCAGGCAAACTCGGGGAGCTGTTGGGGTGAAGGGCTGTGGGACGGGGGGCCTGGGCCATGATCTCCCTCAGCTGAAGCTGTTTTATCTGATTCTAGGGGAGGCTCCGTGCTTCGACACTGCTTCCTCGAGAGCGGCCGGCAGTCAGCCTGCTCTCTTCTTGGCCTAGAGGATGCTGCCTTCACACGGTGAGAGGTTCTGGCCTTCCAGAGAAAGCCAGATCTGATCCCACGCCTTGAAAACACAGAGGCTTCCAAACATCAAAGAAGCAACAAAGGCCTGGGTTGGGTCAGAAAGAAAGAAGGAGGGAGGAGATCGAGACATTGCCAGGTGTTCAAAAGTGCAACCAGCCCCGGGCAGCGATGGAAGAGGGACGAGACGGTCACCAAAACCAAGGGGTGGACGGCGGGGTAGGATCCGGCCAGGAGCAGAGAACCCGCCTCCGAGTGGGGCCCAGAGGTGGGTGAGTGTCTGGAGGGGATTCTGTTTCTCCGAGGATGCCAGGGAGCTGTCCAGACCCCAGGGAGCCCAAGGCCTGCATCCGGGCAGGACTGTGATGAGAAAGCCCAGTGGATGGAGTAGGTGGGCTGCTGGCCGGGGTGGGGGGTTTACAAACAGAGATTATGCAAGCAAAGGGGCTCATGGTCCAGCTCCGGGCTCCCCAGGCATGCCCATCCAGCAGGGAGGAAAGGGCCAGACAGGTCACTTCTCCAGCCCTGGCCAAATTCTGTCTCTGCCCCTGACAGACAGGAAAAGCCCCTCAGAGAGGGACACACACGGTGGCACAAAGTCCAGTGGGGTCGGAAACCTGGCTTTGGGCCAGTCCCACATTTTAGCGATTCCTGTGTTAGAATGAAAATGATAAGAAAACAGACATCTAAATGCCACCATTTTGGATCTCTTTTCTCTTAATTTCAGGTTGATACTTGACCCGCGGGAGCCTGGACAACTTGTTGGTTCCTCCCTCCGCTGGGTTCTGACTCTAGAACAGTCGCTCACAGGGGCATCTTAAAGGGCCCCGGGTCCCTTTGCAACGGGAGGAACCCCCGTGTAACGCCAACAACGTCACCCCAACACATCTGTTTGCAAGAAGGATTTTCAGATAGAGGTCCACAACCCCATACAGTTTTTTTCTCTGCAATTCTAAAATCCCAAAGCTCTCAAATGGTAAGTTTTCTTCCATAACTTATTTAGTGGCAAAATCTGACCTGAACTGAAGTGAGGCTATTTACAGTTTTTATTGATCCCAGTTAGTCTGACTATTCATGTTTCTCTGCAGAAATGGTCACGTGCTTGATGGCAGAGCACTGTTCCACACTGTCGGGGGGTTAGAAAATGGAGGATAAATGGCTCCTATTCTCTTTCTCAGATCCAAAATTTCTGAATTCAGAGGCCCATCCAGCCCCAAGGATTTCAGAAAAAGGACTGTGGCCAGAAACGGTGTTAAGTACAATGTGGAAGGCTGCCAGCCCGTGCCTGCTCAGACCTGGGTGGGTAATTTATGAACATCTGGCCATGCCAGGGGTTTTGCCCCAGGGATGGAGCCACCGCCCTCCTTCCCAGGAAAATAAATGTCAAAACACACCCAGGCCCGGAGATTTCAGTGGCGAGGAGGTGGGGGCTGCATTGGGGGGGCAGGGCCAGGAGACACCTGTGAGGATCTGTCCCCGCCATGGTGGAGGCCACAGCAGGCCTTTCCACGCCGGGCTGGAGTCTGTCCATCCTCACTCCCGCCCTGGTGCTGCCCCAGACCACTCTGGCAGGGGCTGGGGACTCAGAGGAAGTGTCCACCACAGTCCTGCCCCTTGGTGAGGCCCTGCTCACCCGGACGGGCCCCCTGGGCAGCTCCGGTGTGCCCTTGCAGTGGGCAGTGGGTGACACAAGGTGGGGGCAAGTCGGAGCGTTTCCGTGTCCCTGTCTCCATCCCACTCCCCACCCCCGCTCGAGATGTTCTGGGTGCCTGCGCTGACAGCGCTTTCTGGAGCAGGGGGAGGGGCTGGCAGCCCTCAGAGCCTGCTGAGAAAAGCAGATGCATTTTCAAAATAAATAATATTTTCAAAATCCCCACTTTCCACTCCAAACCCAGGAAACAGCAGAAGAGAACATGTGAAGGTCCTTGTGCCCGCCGCTGCCTGGTACGGCCCTCACGCGGGTACCCTGGACTTCTCAGGGGCTCCCGAGGGCTCACAGCTGCTGTGGGATGCCCTGCTCCTTGTAGCCTGCAAGGAAGAAGCAAAGGAGAGATGGTTAGACGCCCACTTCCTTCAGGATTTCTCCAGGACGTGCCCCCAGATTAGAATATGCTCATGAGACCTTGTTCATACGGAGGCATAAATGACTCTACAGTCAGGGTCCAAGTTCTCCCAAGGATGTTGGCTTTTCAATGGGAAACAAAAGGATGGAGAACTGTGGAAGTTTGGGTTTAATGGGGATATATGAGAGGAGGATATCTGCTGTGGGGGTTGGAAGGTTATCAACAGGCTTCTGGATCCACACCCCTGAAGCCACTGCACAAAAGCTGCCCCAAACTGGCCTGGCATGATTTTCCAATGCAAAGCCCTGGCCGAAGGGGCCAGGCAGGTTCCACCAAGTGACGGGCATCTGGTATGTGTGGATGGAGAGGAGGAAGGAAGGAGGAAGACAGCAGACAGAAGGGAGTGACCACGCGTGTGCGTTCAATCAGCTGGATATCTGTGACACAGGCAAAGGTCCCTGGGGGCTTCGAGCCTTTAAAACATTGGTCATAATGGCAAGGCCATTGGGAAAAATTAACCACTGTTGATATTAAGGAATTGCTGCTAATTTATTTGGGGGTGAAAGGGTATTGTGGTTATGTTTTGTGGGTTTTTTTTGGTGAAGAAGATTGGCCCTGAGCTAACATCTGTTGCCAATCCTTCTCTTTTTGCTGAGGAAGATTGTTACTAAGCTAACATCTGCGCCCATCTTCCTCTACTTTATATATGGGATGCCGCTGCAGCATGGCTTGATAAGCGGTGCACAGGTCTGCGCCCAGGATCAGAACCCACGAACCCCGGGCCACTGAAGCGGAGCACACAAACCCAACAACTACACCACCGGACCTGCCCCTGTAGTTATCTTTTTTTTTCAAAAAAGATACCTACTGAAATATTTAAGGATGAAATTATGAGTCTGGAATTTGCTGAGTGGTTACCACCTATGAGCTGTTAACTTAGCCTGCAGAGAAGCTTCAGGGGGCTTAATTGGTTTTCTCTCTTTACTTACCAGATTATTCATCAATTTTAGGTGCTAATAATCCAGTGCTGAGGATGGGGGAAGATGCAGGGAGTAACAGATGAAAAGAGAGTGGCCATGAGTTGATAATTGTTGAAACTGCTGTGGGTATTCAGGGACACATTACACTTGGCTCGCTACTTTTATGTTTAAACATTTTCCAAAATAAAAAGCTAAAAATAAAAGCCCGTTGACCAACTGGCGGAAGGGGTGTTTGTGTGCAGGGGGTGAGGGGCAGTGGAGGGGAGGGCCCTGGGCAGCCGGGCATGAGGCCCGTGCATCCACCAACAGACTCACCTTGGGAAACTTCGGAGCAACACAAGGATGTGAGGCAGCATGAGGAAGAGAAGAAAAAGAAAAAGAGAAAACAGTCTGAAAACAGAGGCCAGAGGTGGCTGAAACGTAAAAAGAGGGAGGATGCGTGGTGGCGCCTGGGAGACGAAACGGGGCAGGGCTCAGTGTTCACAGGGACCAGCCGCTGCGCAGCGGTGAGCCCCATCATGTGTGTGGGTTTGCCTGCGGGAGCGCACAGTCAGGGCCCTCCCCTCCCGGGGGTCACACCCGGCGAGACACTGCCAAGCAGCTCTGGCCAGTGCCTCCCCTTCCCTTCATATTTCAGCCAAGCCCGCTCTTCTGCTCACCTCCTGCCCCTCACTCTTTTCTCACCCCCGACCCATGTTGGCCCTGAGATGAATTCTGGATGGACCTGAGAGGGACAGCTGCAGGACAGGTTTGACTGTGACAACCTAAAGATGCTGAAGTGACCCATCCCGGCCCTAGCCCAGCTCTGTCTGAGCCATGTGGTTCACCCTTTATATGGACAGGAGCCAAATATATAAAACCTAATGCTTTAGGATAGACCCAGGCTGGGGATGCCAAACAGGTTTTATCTTGCTGACATCTTGGATCCATTGGTAGTGACTGCCTGAAGCCCAGTGTTGAGAACATGTAAGATTGTCCAGCAGAAAGTGTCAGGATTGATTAGCAATGTCTGCCATGGATACGGCAGTGGAAAGAGGCTACTGTAGACCTACCAGGTATTTATTGACCCATGACCAAGACAGGTTGTTAGAGACTGTTATTTGTTATTATTAATATAAATGGAGCAGCATGCTTCTAAGTTCCTGATTTTAACTTCTACTTTGATTTATATTTCTCTGATTTCCCTCCTAGGAGTTTTTCTGGGCGCTCAGATTGTTGATGACACCCTAGACGATGCCGTGTGAAAAATCATTCCGTATTGTTACAACTGAAAAGTTGCCTTCATTTTACAGGAAGGGGCTGGCATGACACCAGAAGGAACAGCCCCTTATCCAACTCTCCACTAGGACAGACAAGTCCATGGTGGTTATTTCCTGCAAACTCGTCACGCTGGGACACACACTCTCCATTGTGGCTCAGAGCAATCCCAGCCCACAGCACCATCTCAAGAGTAGCAATTACTCATCCTTTGAGGTTGGGTTTACTTTTTGGAAGAGGTGCACAGGCACCCCTTGCTGAGATGGGTGATTGAGTCTGGGGGCCAAGGGGGGTAAGTGGGCGGCAGTGAGGAGGGACCGGTTTTCTGGTGCAGCCCTCAAGTCCATCCCCCAAACAGTGTTCTAAAAAGTCTGATGCAAAGACAGCATCCCAGAAGCGGTATACAGACACCCAGGAAGCTGACTCTGGCCCACAGTGAAGGCTTGGGGGTGGGCAGGAAGGGTGAGGATGGGCTTCTGTCACCTGATTGTCCTGCAGCCCAGTTATGGCCCCCACGTCAGCCACAGAAGAGGGGTTTCTGGCCGAGTCCACAGCCTAGGGTGATGGAAAGTGTGGAAGAGACTGGGTCCCCATCTGCGCTTCTCGGGGTCTCCGTTTCCTCATCGAGGACATGATAAGGGGAGTTCTTCAAGTTACCTCTAAGATCCAGACCCCGTGGCTCGTGGGTACCAAGGACGACCACAGACCAGCATACCAGAAAGCTCTAGGGATCAGATGAGGCATCAGCACGCATTTATTGAGACCCACCCTGTGACGTAAGCGTGTTCCACTATAATGGAAAGGTTGCTCACTACAGTGCCCAGTGCCTGGTCAGATACTCGGCATGATGAGGAGAAGAAGCAGGAGGAGGGGTCGAGGCTCGTACCGGGCGGACAGGGGGCAGGCTTCCTACCCTCTGACTGCAGCTAAGGAAGCTTCTGAGAGCAGATGCACCTTCCAGGTTCCAACTGGGAACAGCGTCGGGAGCCCGCAGGCCACCCCACAGGCCCCGAGGGAAGTGCCAAATCCCCTCCGGGAAACCGTCAGACTCTGCTTCTCAGGACTCGCAGGATGGCTGGCAGCACTGGGGACTCCCCCTTCTCTGGTTGCCCATCTCCCAGCGTCGGCCTGGGTTGCTCTGACTTTGGCATGCCCTGGCAGTCCAGCTGACTCACTTCTTCCCCTGACCTCTGCTGCTGAAGGAGCTGCTTCCAGGCAGCCTGTCTGACCAATCTACCGGCTCTGCTGATCTCACTCAAGCTCTGGTCCCTGTAATTACTCTGGTCCAGTGGCTTGCTTGGTCACAGACCTGAGGCCTTGCCTGGCCCTGACATCTGTGTGTGCCCTGGGTCTTGGAACCTCACAGGATCCTGAACTCAGGCTGAGTTGGCTAGAGATCATGCTAGATCATTCTAGGGCCCCCTGAACCCAGGGCTTCTCCTCTGCCTCTGCTGCCCTTACCTGGCACAGCTTACTTCTGGCACAATCCCAGCTATGAATGGTTTTGTTGGGTGGGGCACAATGAGGAGCGTGGGGTGTGAAGAGAAGAACAAAGAGCCTGAGGAGATGTGGTCCCTCATAGTGAGGAACCTCGGCCTGATGAGGTGGACGGAACGTGTGAAAATACAGGGAGCACGCGTGGGGGCCCAGGGTGACGTGCATGGCTGCTTCAAATAGGTGTCTGCTTTAAGACTTCGCTAGGTTATTTTAAAAATGTTAATCAGTTGCCTTTGGTAAACTTGTTTTTGTAGTGGTAAGCCCTTTCACAAAACAGGATCAAGTTGGTGTTAAATGATTGGTGAAGGTCCACTCAACACCAGAGAGGAAGAATAATGAACAAAGAGCTTAGCTTAAAAGAAGGAGAAATTATGCTGTTCTGGCTGTAAAAACACAGTTATGGGGTTTCCTGTGGGCAAATAAGAAGTGGCCTTTTTCTTCTTTCTGGAAACTGCATGTTGGAGGCATAAGGGACCCGAGCTCATGTGGGCCACACAGTGTTGTCAGCTGGCCTGTTTCCTTGACAAATGTGATGCCTGATGTGTCTGAGCCGATAGGGGCTCCCTCCCTCCCTTGTTCACGCTCTCTGGCTCAGGTCTCTGCCTGTCTGCACCCATGATTCCCTGCAGGCATCAGTGCTGGCATGTGGGGAGGGTCCCATATGCCAGTCGGCCGTAGGCACTAATGAGGAGGACATAGGTGAGCCCTCAGGGGAGGGGCAGGCCCAGCCCCGCGGATCTCCCCGTGAAGTGCCCACGCCCTGCGGGATCACAAATGCCCAGACCATCTGGCCCCATCCCTCCTCCAGCCCTGCTCCCCGCGTCCTAGCCCAGCCCCAGCCCCACAAAGAGGCATGGCACTGGCGGCTACTCACTGGCGAGGATGACCATGTCCATGCCCCAGAAGATGCTCATGATCCAGCCCACCATGACGATGGCCGTGAGGATCTGGATGAGGGCAGCCGCAATGTTCAGCCAGAAGACGCAGCACACGTGCCTGTCCGGGAGGTCAGTGCGGGCACCGCACAGCACGGTGAAGGCCGAGACGAACGTCCCTGTGAGAGGCCGGAGGGGACAGCCTTCTGAGGGTGCACGGAGACACAGCGGCGTGCGTGCTCATCGCCAGCCTGGAGTCCAGCTGTGCTTCCTCCAGGAGCTTGGCGAGGGGCAGCCAGGGTCTGGCACCTTCCCACTCAGACCATCTCTTATCCCCGTCCTAGAGAGGTCAATGTACACCTGGAGGAGGCATGGCATGGGGCCTTTGGGGGAACACAGATGTCATGTGACAAATGGCTCCTGCCATTAAGGAGCAACAGTGCAGCCGCTTGCAAGGACAATAGATGGCAGCTGGAAAGGGCACCACCCTTATGTGGCAAAGATTCTAAGGGCCACATATGTCACCCACAGAGGTAAATTCAGGAAATGACCCCCAGCACACATGCTGTTGCTGCGGGACAGAGGCTGGGACTCCAGGCGCCCGCAGAGTGGAGAGCGCACAGGCCCAGGGCAGATCTCCTGGAACCCTTCCCTGATGGGGTTCCCGCAGACACCCCAGATCTGCAAGGGGAGTGACAGGGAGCCTGAGATTTATTGAGCAGCCGCAAGGCACGGAGCAACGTTGGGGTGTGTGTCCACGTCCCCTACCTCCTTGAAGCCTTTCCAGAGCCTACGGGAAATATCACCACATTTACTGACATTTTCCTCAAGCCAGGCTCTTTCCCACAGGGGCCCTGAGCCTCACAACAACCCTGCAGGGCCGTTGGCTTCCTCCCTATCTGTATTAGCTTCCCATGGCTGCTGTATAAGTTACCGCAGACTCAGTGGCATAAAGCAACACACATATATTCTCTTACAATTCTGGAGGTCATTAGTCTGAAATGGGTCCTCAGGGTTGGGTCCTTTCTGTAGGCTCTAGGGGACAACTGGTTTCCATGCCTTTTCCAGCTTCCAGAGGCTGCCTGCATTCCTTGGCTCGCAGCCCCTTCCTCCATCATCAAAGCCAGCAGTGTTGCGTCTTCTCTCCTCTCTGACCTGTTTCCATCCTCACATCTTCTCTCTCTGACTCTGACCCTCCTGTCTCCCTCCTACAAGGACCCTTGTGGTTACACTGGGCCCACCAGATAATCCAAGGTAATCCCCCCATTTTAAGATCCTTAACTTAGTCACATCTGCAAAGTCCTTTTTGCCATGAAAGGTAGCACATTCACAGGTTCTGGGGATCAGGGTGTGGACATGTGGGGGCAGGGCATTATTCTGCCTACCAGACTGTCTTCCATGCTGTATTTATCTTGTGTTTCTGATGCTCTGACATCTGGGGCCTAGCTGACCTGGGGAGACCACCCCTCCCAGGGCTAGCTGACTCCTAGAGATGGTAAAGGACTTGCTTATGCAAACCAGCCGATCCAGAGCCCACACTCCAGCCACCTCCTTTATGGGCCCTCACACTCCTGGCCACCCACCTACCCGAGTCACCCAGGGCCAGGTGCCAGACAATTAGGGACAGCCCCTAAGCCCCAGAGCCTATCCTAAAACTGCTTACCCCGCCTTGCTGTTCCTTCCCATGGAAACCACAATAAAGGCTCCTGCCCACGTTTCCCCCTCGCTCCCTCTGCCTCCTGACTGTCCCCGGTGCTTCGTCATGTGCCCCGCCATGGTGTGGCATGCTGCTTCCTCTTAGGAACCGTGAGTAACAAGCTATCTTTTCGATGGCCGTCATTTCCTGATCTGTTGGCCTTACCATACCTAAATAATAATAAAACCTACATTTTGAAGCACACACACACAGAGACTGAAGAATTAGGCGTCTTGTCCAAGGTCACAATCACAGGGGGGCATCGACTCCACGGCTGTCCGACGCCGGTGGCCATGCTCCTGCCCCGGCGTGGCCTCACAGGTGGAGATGACCTGCTCCTCCAGGTGCAGACAAGACAGCAGGCCATTTGGGAAATCGGCCAACAGACCAGGGACCACTCTCACGTTTCTCGCAGCTCCTGCTCTGGAGGAAGCTTCCCAGGCATCGATTTTCCTCCCTCTCTGCACTGCGGTCCCTGGCCCTTCCCTGCCCAACCTTCGTGGCTCCCACTGGCTTCCTGACGTGGCCTTTCCTTCCGTCCACACCCCTGCGCCTCAGATCCAAGGCTGACCCCTGAGTCCGCCTATATCTGATCCTGACCCTGCCCCATCCTCCTCCTCATCTTAACAACTGCCACCGACGTGTGTGTGTTTCTGCCCCCTGAGTGGCTGACAGCACTTCTGAGGTCCCAGGGGGCATCCCACTCACCTTTCTGCCCCCAGCCCCCAGCACAGGGCCTTGTCTACAGTAGGTGGTCTGTGAGGATCCAAAGAAATGCAACCAGTGTTAAGCGCATCCTCAGACCTCCTGCGTCAACCCCTGTGGAATTTGTTAAAAATGCAGATGCCTGGGTCCCCCTGAGATCTGAATGTCTGAGGCATGGCCCAGGAATCTGAATTTCTAAGCAAGTTTCTCCCTCCACTCAAATAATGATAATGCTCACTAAAGTGTGAGAGCCATGGATTCAAGATCAATCAACCGACTAACGGGCCCCTCCGTGTTCCTGGCACAGAGCCCAGGGTGGCCCTACGAGAGACTCGGGGAGGGGAAGGCTGTTCTCCCACTCTCACTGAACGGACATCCAGCCAGGGGTATAGAGCATTTGTTGGACCTTCGTTCCTGGAGGCTGAGGCTGAGTTGCAACGCTTAAGTCTCTTAACGGCTCATTCAGACACCCGCCTCAGCTCCTGCCCCCCGGGGGCGGGGGCGTCCTGAGTAGTGAGGACGCTCATTATCACCACCTGACAGAGGAGGAAGGGGGCTAAGAGCTTGCCCAAGTCTGCGGACGTCCAGGTGATGGAGCTGGCACTTGAACCCCAGCCTCTTCCCACTGGGGAGGAGGAGGGCGAGGGTTCTGCGGGGCCAGGAGTGGTGACATGGAGGAGGGGATGGGGACGAGGAGGAGGGCTGCTCCGGGCATTTCTAGAGGGTTCTGAATGCCTGCATAAGGGGTTTCCCCCAATCTGTAGGAAACGGAGCTCTGACAAAGAGTTTTGAGTGCGAGAGTGATATGAGGGAAGCAGTGATTTCAGAAAATGAATTTGTCAGCAGGGTGACGGGTGGATTGAAAGGGACTGAGATGAGAAAGACAAACTCAAAGAAGGCAGCAGCTGAGGAGTAATGGGGACCAGGACACAGGGCTTGGTAGTGGATACAGAAGGAAACAGGGGACTTAGGGACCATTAGGAAGTGGGTGCCACCATCCTTTGCCTCTGCTAGCGTATCATGTATGTGGGATATGAGAGGAACACCATTAAAAAAGAGAATACTACCAAAGTATAAAGATAGTAGAAGAGGAACATGAGCAAATGGTGAAAATATTAATTTTAATTAATTAAAATAATTTTAATTATTTTATTTTAATAATTATTAATTAAATAAAAATAATTAATAACAGATTCCATTTACCACACACATACAGTGTGCTGCACCAGGCTACCCTCGTTCTACCTACATTACCTCTAATTCTTACAACCGTTGGGGGTGGTTATTATTATCCCCATTTTACAGATGGGGAAATCAAAGCTCAGAGAGGCTAAATGACTTGTCCACACAGCAGAGCCCAGATTACAACCCAGATCTGTCTAGTTTGGAAGCCTGAGCTCTTTTCAGCCCAGGATGTTGCATCCTTGCATTAAAAAATAAGGAAGGTTGGTATAGCGGCTGTAGAAAACAGTATGGTGGATCCTCAAAAAATTAAAAATAGAATTACCATATAATCCAGCAATTCCACTTCTGGGTACATACCCAAAAGAATCAAAAGTAGAGTCTCAAAGAGATACCTATATACTCATGTTCATAGCAGCATTGTTCACAATAGCTAAAATGCAGAGGAAACCCAAGTGTCTATAGATGGATGAACGGATAAGCAAAATGCGGTATATCCATACAATGGAATATTATTTATCCTTGAAAAGGAAGGAAAATTTGACAGGTACTATAACACAGATGAAACCTGAAGACGTTATGCTAGGTGAAATAAACCTGTTACAAAAAGACAAATACTGTATGATTCCAATTATATGAGGAACCTAGAGTAGTCAAATTCATAGAGACAGAAAGAAGAATGGTGGTTGCCAGGGGCTGGGGGAGGGGGTAATGGGGAGTGATTGTTTAATGGGGACAGAGTTTCAGTTTGGGAAGACGAAAAGAGTTCTGGAGATGGATGGTGGTGATGGTTGCCCAGCAATGTGAACGTACTTAATACCACTTAACTGCACATTAAGAATGGTAAAGATGGTAAATTTCAGATCATGTGTATTTTACCACAATAAAGAACTGAAAAGGGGCCGACCCGGTGGCATAGTGGTTGAGTTTGCATGTTTCGCTTCGGCGGCCCAGGGTTCGAAGGTTCGAATCCCAGGCTCGGACCGACGCACCGCTCATCAAGCCATGCTGGGGCGGCGTTCCACATAAAAAATGGAGGAAGATGGGCACAGATGTTAGCTCAAGGACAGTCTTCCTCAGCAAAAATAATAATAATAACAATAATAATTTTTAAAAAAGAAGGAAAGAAACTTCATCCTTAATGATTTTCAAAATATCCTGAACCTCTCCATCCTACCCCTGCCCCAGCCAGTGTGCCTCACAGCAGATGGTGCCTTGACCTGGTGGCATCTGGCTGAGATCCCGTGACCCTCTGTCTCTTTGTGGCTGTGGCCTCGCCTCAGTCTTCCTGCCTAGGGAACAGGAACATGTTTTTATTAGGCTGAACCATATGGAATTGCTACTTTTGTAGGTCCAGAATAGTTGAATAACAGCCATTTCATATGGCTCAGCCCAATACGTATGTGAAGACTTTGAGCAAAAGGAAACTCTGTCCCTGAACTCAGAGATTCTTAGAGTTAGAAGGTCAGCTAGCACATCTGCTATCAAAAGATGGAATCTCACCAGAATTGCCAAACTGATTAGAGGCCGCTGGGCCTCTTCATGCATCTGCCTGCTTGTCATGGAGATAGGAAGGCCTAGCGAAACCGCAGCTCT